GTGTCTATCTCAGCCTGATACATGAGCCCAATAAGTGCCCCAAATGTCGAAAAAAGGGATTAAAAATCAAAGAATTCGGACCATAGACGGAAGCCAAGAAAAGTTCGGTCTTTCGCTATATAAAGGTATGTGGTTTTACCCTTGGGGTTCAAAGGGCAGAGCCCCCTGGCTAGGGAATATATAGATCTATTTTCTTAAAGCCACGGGCGCATATAGCACTACGGGGGTCCAGGGGGCGTAGCCCCCGATAGTTAGCTGTCGGTTCCCGTAGCCCCCTGGCTAGGCGCATATAATTAGTTTAGGTTGGGTTAGGCTAGGCTAGGCTAGGTTAGGTTAGGTTAGGTTAGGTTAGGTTAGGCTAGGCTAGGTTAGGCTAGGTTAGGCTAGGTTAGGTTAGGTTAGGTTGGGTTAGGTTAGGCTAGGCTAGGCTAGGTTGGGTTAGGCTAGGCTAGGCTAGGTTAGGCTAGGTTAGGTTAGGTTAGGCTAGGTTGGGTTAGGCTAGGCTAGGTTGGGTTAGGCTAGGCTAGGCTAGGCTAGGCTAGGTTGGGTTAGGCTAGGCTAGGCTAGGCTAGGCTAGGTTAGGTTAGGTTAGGCTAGGTTGGGTTAGGCTAGGTTGGGGTAGGCTAGGCTAGGCTAGGCTTAGTTTAGGTTAGGTTGGGTTAGGCTAGGTTAGGTTAAGTTAGGCTTGGTTTATATATTACTAGGGGTCCAGGGGGCATAGCCCCCTGGCAAGGCGCATAGCCCCCTGGCAAGGCGCATTTAATACCACGGGGGTCCAGAGGGCAGAGCCCCCTGATTAGGGAATGTATAGATCGTAGAGTATAAATCCCACAGGCTTAGGTTAGGTTGGTTTATTGGTTAGGACGCATTGTACGATTACCACAGGGGATATGGATTATGTGAAATCCCGTAGATTAAGTTAAGTAAGTTTATTTACCACCCTGGCTATCTGCTCAGGCGTGGGCAATCATGATTGCAGCTTTACATATATCTGACACAGTACAGTACTCTGTGACTACTGTAATAGTACATGGTAATATAGAAATATGTCATACATTATACAAAAATAATACGTTGATATGTTTTTGCCACTGTGTTTACATAACACTGTGTTTTTGTTTACGGCAGTTTTACATAGTAAATTTAGGATATAATACGAGTATATCTTCCAATGTATCAGACGAAATGAAATATTCACATAGTTCTCTATACCTCATGTTAGGTGGTCTAAAAGGCTGTATCATATGACATCCCGAGATATAATGCTCAAGCGTTCGCTTGTTTTATTCGTTACACAGTCTACATTTAGATTCATCTGCACTTCTTGCACCGTGCAGTTGCCAATACATTATGTAACCTAAACGTATTCTGGCAATAACCACGTCACAGTGTCTGGTTCGACTTCGGTGCCACCCATAGGAGGGCTTGCTATCTCTATACTGATCGTAGTGCCTCATGGTACAGCTTTCAGGCCTTTGAGTGTTCGTCAGATCTACTAGTTCTTCCTTATGAGAACTTTTCAATATATGTGCAACCCTAGCAAGAGGCATCCCAAGATCTATGTTCACAGTGTCTTTGCTGCAGGCTTCCTTCGCCAATTTGTCTACGTGGTCGTGCTTGCTTATGCCAACATGAAATGGTAGCCATACAAACTGAATGTTGAAATTGCGCTCTATTGCACAAGTTACGTTACGCTTAATGTAACTTACAATTTCCTCATCGCTACCTGCTTTGAAAGAATTTAGTGTCCAAAGAGCACTCTGAGAGTCACAGAAAACTACTCCAGAGCCCCGAGACATTAAAAATTCCGTTGCAAGGAGTATACCTGCCAGCTCCGTTTGTGTAGTGCTGGCCCAATTGTGCACTCTCATATTAACTTGATGTTGTAGTGAGCCATTTTTTGTATACAGTACAAGCACAACCAGCTTTGTATCCAGACTGTACGGATCCGTCAACGTAACACTCGTATACATCATCGCCCATAGACTGTGTGTTCCTTTACCGTTGCTAATGTAATTTGTTTTAACACGCAGTTATGTACACTGTTTTTTTGTGGTAGACACGTAAGGTGCACGATCAATTGTGATTTTTTCCATGGTGGAATGGATCGACTCTGTGGTATTTTACTAATTGGGACATTGAGCTTTGTAATGTTCATGGAGGGCGCGCGTATGTGTGATTAGTCACGTCTGCTTGCGTGATCTTGTGCTGCAATTGTTTTTGGAAGTCTGAAAGATACAAGGGTTCCCTCAGAGCTTTGACCCCAAATATAGTGGAAATGAACATTATTCTATCAGAGATGGATGGTAGGTTAAGTTCTGACCTCATGCTCACTATCCTTGCTGTTCTCGGGGCGCCGAGGATAATCCTCATTGCTTCATTTTGCACTACCTCCAAGCTATTTATTTCTGGTTCCTTGCACTGCAACAAGTGCAGTGCATGGTAGTCTACAACTGATCTTATAAAAGCCAAGTAAAACAGTCTAGCGAGCTTAACATTT